ATAATTGAGTGTCACGAGTACCACATCTTTTTCAACTATATCCTCAAATTGACATGTCAACAAACCACACACACACCGTCAACTGGTTATAAAGCAAATGCATATTTTTAATGGGTAGCATGTGATTCACGTTTTATTACTATTTAAAAAGGGGAATTTGTTTTAATAGCTTAATTTAATACTTTTAACTTAAAGCATTATCCTATCAAACACTTTCGACAACTCCATTCAAAATTCAAAAAGGTAATAAGGATAGTAAGAAATGAGTTTTTAAAAACTGACCTCATTAGTTATCAAGGAGACCTCCTTAAACGTTTCTTATAATATTAGAGTGTTGGTAAGACTCACAGTCTATTTTAACATGTGGGGAAGCAATCATATATATATATATATATATATATATATATATATATATATATATATATATATATATATATATATATATATATATATGGAAAAGGGAATACGTGGTTGTTAGGTACCTAATATAGGTGTAGAACCCCTAAAGCCACATCGTTTTTTAAGATAAAATGTGTGGCCTCACGTTTTGGTCGTAGCCCTAATTCCTATCTATTCCATCTTTCGAGTTCCATTTTTTTGCGATCATAGGCTATTGTATATGAGTATATCGCAGCCTCCTTAATAGATTTGGAGTTTTAAAGTTTTTGTTGTCTCCATCTTGTAGGTACGACTAACATCCACCTTCTCCTCTAATCAATCTTTGGACTTTTAGTCTTCGTAAACTAATTGTTTTATTCTTTTCCTCTTGATACCGACTTCAATATATAAAAACGTTTACAATTTGGGTGTTGTTGTTCTTAAGAAATATTTTTGATTTTCTATGCTCTGTTTGTGACCATGTCACAGTTAAAAATTAAATAGGAGCGTGTTTTTAATACCTAACATATCTATACACATGGTCTACAACACCTTTATCTTGCATGTAAGCATGTTATAAACAAGTTTCTTACCAATGATTGCAACATTGCATCTTCCTTCATCATATTTATCCTCTAAAACATGAGTAAATTCTAGTATCTTCTACTTTATTATATATTCAATTTACCTCCACTGAATTGAAAGATCATAAGTTTCGTTTCCTAGAAGAGTTACGTAGAAATAGGAAAAATACCTATTATTTATAAAAATTAACATGATTAATAAGAAAATTTAGAAATATTAAATATCATCAGATGCAAAATCTATCGTTTGATAAGATGATAAATGATACAACTATTGTTGTGTAATAAGTAAAGTTTCCTAACTACAATTTATCATACATTTAGCTACCATATTTTGAAATCTTCTTTTACTTCCTATAAATAACTTGACTTCGTTTATGCAGCAAGGTGAGCTTTAATCTTTCATTATGTTTGTACAAAGTATACATGTTGAATAGCATATTCAAACACATGGATGTTTTCTTGATACAAGACATACCTAACATTATTAATCGGGAAAATCAAGCAACAGATGGGCCTTCCGAGACATACAACATTAAAGATATTGGCATAAATGATGTCGATAAAGGTCTTGAATATGATGAATCTGAAGTTAATGATGCAAATATCATGGGAAAGGTTTTCAATACCCGTCATAATTTGTATTCATATTATAACTGGTATGCCTTTTTACATGGATTTAGCATACAGATTCATTGATATTATAAGAATAAGATAACAAAAGGAGGTTTATCGTAAGATGTATGTATGCAACAAATAAGGTTTTAAAAGAGTGAAGGGTGATAGGAATGTAAAGAAATGTCGTAGAGATTTACCGAACGGATGCCAAGCAATGCTTTAGATTTCAAAAAGGAAAGATGGAAAATTGTTTGTGGATATTTTTAATGATACACACAATCATGAGGTTAACGTTACACCAACGAAAGTATTGAAACATCATGCCTATGGAAAGTTCCATTGGTCAGTTGAACGTAAATCTATTGTGGTGGAGCCTGGTCAGTCGGGGTTGAAGCCTTCTCAAATTAAAAAGGCTTTCAATGAAATGAAACCTTCAAATGAAGTTCATGTTACTTCCAAGCAATGTATTGGCATATTATCCAAGCAACGAAGGAAAAACAGAGCTATGCAGATGGGACTCCTAGAAATTTTTTTTGGTGGATATGTATGAAGATGGGACTCCTAGAAATATTTTTTGGGCAGACGGAAGACCAAGGGATGCACATACTAAATTTGGAGAAGTTTTCGTGTTTGATGCGACATACATGATGTAGTTCGTATGAATCGAGTGTTAGAATGAAATCAGAATATGAAATGAATCAAGAACACAGAATGTAAATATAATATGTTTGGCTATTTATTACTTCTAAAAGAGTACATGATATGAAATACTAAAGTGTTCTTACAGTCCACAAAAAAGTTACTCTAACACATATACTTACCCCTATTTATAGGAGTTAACAGAAGCACAAAAAAATACATAAGGGCTAAGATGCTTAATCTTCGAACTCGGAAATGCCATTATGAAATACATACAACGAATACATGAAAACAAACTTTCATACTAAACATGACAAAAGATGCTTTGACATCTCACAATATATTTCAAACTCTACATTCTTGCCCTTTGTGAGAAGTATCGAATCCTATGTCATTAGCGTCTTCGTTGCTTGATGTAGTACTCTTCAAATCTCCGTGTACCATATGATCGTCTTTCAAACGTCATACTTATCACCAACTGAATTCCTTTTGCAGTTACTAAGACGAACAAGAAGACTCATGTATCGAGAATTTGTATACATCTCCACATCTTCAACTTTGAACAAAAACTTTGTCATCTTTTGATTTTTGTTCTTCCCAACAAATAGAACTCCAAGAGGCTTAACATCAATCTCCACATCTTCAAAATTCTTGAGACTTCCTGGACCTTGCAACATTGATTGAGGAACTGTCACTTGTTTACCCATTGCCAAAGCAAGCTCCACATCAGCAAAAGCTAGAAAATCATAGTAGTTGTCTGTGAACAGCTTGATATGAGAAAAACCTATCAACAAATCTTCTTTTCTATTCACGTGAAGTCTCGACACATCAACACTACTCAAGATCTTCGCAACACAGATGAGATCATTGAGATTTATCAAAAGAAAATATGCCACTGATAAGTCACATGCAACGTTGTTATCCCGAACCATATGATAACGAAAGTTCTGTAACAACCCTTCGAACAACACATCCTTGGAAACACCCAAAACTTTAACAATTTTGACTAAGGACCAGACTTCCTCCTCTTTCTCTCCAAGAACTGCATGAAATCTCATCTTTATCTTCTTGTATTCTTCCTTGTCATCAAACTTATCCACCAATTGATGTTGCGATGAGATAAACATCGTTTGATTGATGGGAAAATCCAATTGATTGAAATCTGTATTTTCGATCTCAAAGCTCTTCTTAGGAACCTTTTCAAAATCATACATATTACCAAGAGAAACAATCTCTTCAATTGTCTCATAACAGTATTGCTTGGTTGGATCTCCTTTATTAAGACCTGGTGGATCACCTTGTCTTTGTCTCATGATACTGTTAATCTGTCTTTATTTTTCTATCTCTTTCTCTAAAGCTTTCTTCTTTTCTTCTTCCGAAAGATTGACCATAATACCCTTACCTTTATTCTCTATTTCTTCCTTTGATGGTGGTGTCTTTGAACTCGAACCCTCGTCCGTAGAACCAAAGACTATGCCTTTGGTTAATGGCTTCGAAGTAATTGTGGTTGAAGTTGTTGACATAGAAGTAGGAAGTGATGTTGGAACTTGTGTGCTTATTACCTTCCCAACAACTTTTCCTTGATCAAGATCTTTTGATGAGAGAACCGCCTTTCTCCCCCTTGCACCCCTGTTTTAACAGGTGGGGCATCTGTTGGCATCAGATTCACAAGCTTTATAAGAAGAGAAAGTTTGGCTTTCAGATTGAACTCCAAAGAAGAAAACATTTGTGATAAATACTCCTGAGAAACCGAAGATTTGGGAGAAGTATCAAACTTCGAAATCGACTCCTTTAAGTTTGCTAGAACTTCTTCCATCGTTGTATACACTTGTGAATCCTTGGTCGAGAATGAAGTGAAGTTTTCAACAAGTTTGCGGATAGCCTCAGTAACAACATCAAGTTTGTTATCAAGAGACAAATAACTCTTTTCAAGATTAGTCACCTCCTTCGACATTTCAGACATGAGGGAGTGCACCTTCAAAGTTACAGATTCTTGAACTTTTCATGACCTCTTCGACAAAAAGAATATGTCGTTCTTTGGCGACATTACAAACTTCTTTAACTTCATATTGAAAATTCTCAACATGACGTTTCAAACGATCTTTGTGCTTCGTTTAAATTTGTTCCATAGCAACCTTCAATCTATGCTCTTGAGATTTCAACAACAAATCAACCTCAATCCTAGACACCATATTGCGACTCCCAGTATCAGACTGAATCTGAAAAAAAGGATTCAGTTTGTGATTCAAGATTTTGAAATGCTTTCCTGACATCAGTATATGATCAGGAATGTTCTCCTCCTCTGGGTTGAACTGAATGTCAGCAAACATTACCATTACATCATCTTCATCTTGATCAACATCTAGAATTGATTTTTCACCATCGGTTGATTGAGAAGGGAAAAGGGAAGTAATAGGTTGATTCATGATATTGTTGTAAGTAGGTGAAATTGTGGAAGCAAGTAACGAAATGGGAGTAGGTGTATGAAATGGTGGTAAGGAAGTAGAAGTGTCGATGAGTTTAGTTTCGATTGTGGATGAGAGAATAAGAGAAATAGGAACTGATTAAGTTGCAACAAAAGTGTTACGTTGGGCTTCGAAATTCGACATCCCATCACCCATGTTGACATTTGTGTCCATATTAGATATGTTCATAGGGATGCCTGAAGTTCGAACCTCCTCCGAAACGGATTCAGCCATCAAAACTTCGGGTCGTATGACTTTGTTCTGCTCAGGGATGGAAATAGTTGAAGGATCACCCAAAGTAGTGGTTCTGTCTGTATTAGATGCGTTCATTGTGAATAGGAGATTGATAACTATCATCTTCGAAGTCAGTCTCCTGAACAACCTCATCTAAAGAATCTTCTAATTGCTTCGCCTTCTCCTTGATATTTTTCTCCATTTCCTTGGCTTTGCGTTTCTTCGAGGCGGGTGAAATAGGAGCTGGAACCTCTCGAATTAACACACCCTTTCGATTGAGCTGAGGTTTGCGAATTTTCTTGAATTTCGAAACAAAATTCTCCTTTGGTGGAGAAACAGACTTCTCAGGAACTTCTTCCACAATGGGACTTTCTAGTAAATGACGAGTTATATGTGCTGGCTTCTTCGTTCTTTTAAGAACTCCTATTTTCCAAGGAAAAAATTCATTTTCAGGACCTTTATCAACTTTGGAAATAGAATCTAGAACAGTCTTCATAACCTCCTTCTCAACTGTCTCAGGAACTAACTTAGGTTGTGCAACCTTCCTGGATTTCTTTGAACTTGTACCACATTTTAAAGTACCTTCACTTCCTTTGGGTAATAAAACCCCAACCTGTTCATTAGGGTTGATTATTGACAGATAAGTAACAAGAATGGTATTACTTGGATCCACCTTTTGAAGCATTGCTTCAGGAATGTGTGCCATACACGGAAACAACTCATGATCATCTTCAAATGTTTTAGGATGTTGATAGATTGTGAACTCTAATTTTGGAACATCAGATGGAACAAGAATACCTTCTTTCTCATACACCTCTTGCAAAATCAAACTCCAATATCGAGCGCAAGAAACACGATTAGCAACATTGGTGTGAGAAATACGAGTTCCGAACTCCTCCCATAATTGTTTAACATAATCCATGTTTAAATCATAGTATAATCCAACAATCAAGGCATATAGTTGTAATTTGGCTTTGTCAAGAACAACACTTCGACCTGTGAGACAACAGAGAAAAATCCCAAACATAAAATTTCAGATACATGGAAAAAATGACTTCTTGAACTGACTAATTCCAGTAAGTGGGTGTTGATGACCCATCTCATTGAACACATTTATGACCTGGTCATTCATCACCTCATAAAATGGTCCAGTGTTTGGAAGTTTCATGATCTGTGCAAAGTGTTTCTTCGTGAGCTTGTACTTCTTCTCGTTCGTAAGCTGAAACGTTACAACTTTGGAGGTTTTATTGAAGACAACAGTAGAACCGACCAAGGATATCCAAGTCATGAGCACTGAAAAGGAAGAAGTCATGATCGTTGAGAGCACGGAGTGATTAAGATCAATGATCAACATTTGTAACTCCTCAGGGTACTTGGAAACGACTAGTTGAACTCGATAATTGGAACTCTGAATCTTCAACATAGGTTGAGAGGTGGCTTCGTCAGTAGTTTGGGATGGAACAACATGAGCAGGGTTTTGGAGATTGGTGTGTAGAGATAAGTGTAAGGAAATAAGATTTTGGGGAAATTATGCAACCAGGATACGTAAAGTTTTGATTGGAAACCCCCAAATTCATTTTATACCTAGTACACAATTTGAATTTGAACTGGCCATCAATGAATATCTGCCACGTGTATCCTGGGAAAGTGGTTCAGTTGCCGTAAAAGTCGCCACGTCTGAAAAGTAATGAGCACTTTTTTCCTGAAAAACCGTGAAGTATCCAAACCGTCACATCAATCAAACTTTTTGTTTGCCCCAAGAGGATAAGAACCGTCAGTGGACCTTCGTTTCGAGGTAAGGCTCATTCGCTTTTGGGTGAAAAATGAAATTATAGCCAAACTTTTGAAATCTAGGTTTGAGTTGGTAGTACCCAAGACCTTGAGGATTTCTTGTGAAAATGTGTGCCAAAGAAATAGTGGGAACTAAGATAAAAAAATGTGCGAAGAGTGACAACAAATAAACATTCGATGTAAAAGTTGACTGATCCCAGACTAAGATCACTTCATTCAATATCAACAAAGATATTGAACGGCTTGTGTGGTATCCTGTGAAATACAATCGAATACTCATAAAGGAGTATCGAAGGGCTTCTTTTATTTAGACTTCGAAGGTAGGCTCAATTTTGGTCATAATCACAACTTAAGATAAGTGTGAATTCAATGATCAAAATAAATGTATGACTAGTGTAGTCAAGGACAAGTGAAGTGTGAATAAATTAAAGTGACGAAGGATCAAGAGATATTCAGAATGAAATCATATTCCATATAAAAATGAAAGACTGGACCTTGTTGGGTAAAAATGTCTTGGGAAAAGAACATTTTGTCAAGATCACACAAAACAAATGGAATGCGATTTTGAATATCGAAGGAAGGTACTGAAATAAATGTTTCGTGAAAATCTTGAACTTAAAGTTCACCATCAATTTCGTTATAAGTTGGGAATATTGGATGTTACCATCATCACAGACTCATGAATCAAGATCATTAACTCAGACTTGTGCAGTATCTACTGATGGGTTTAGACCATAAGAACATCCTATGTGCTCATACAAACCCTAATGCTTGGATCTAGGTTTCTCTATTGTACATGCATTCATCCAAGACTATAAACCCTAGATCTAGCATGTGATAATCAATATTAACATATGAATTAGGGTTTAGATCATACCTTGATTGTTATGTAGCAATAACAATCTCAAATCCTTCTTGTAATGACTTTAGAAAGCTTAGAGTCACAAATGTCACTCCTCTAATGGTTCACAAACACCAAGAGCAAGAGGATGAAGAAGAGAAGAGAAGGAGGCTACCAAAAACGTGTGGAAACCCTAATCAACAAGTTCACCACGTTTTTGAGCCATAAGGGTCCTTTAAATAGAGAAGCTATTAGGGTTATCAAACAAGGAAACCCTAATTTGGATGCTTAAGCCCTAAGCAACCCATGGACTCCTTCCTTAAACGCCTAGGACGATTTCTAATGGGTTTCCCCATAGAATTCGTCCACCCCTTTAATATGTAGTCCATTAGCTCAATATTCAACTATCATACAATTGACAGTTCTAGTCCCTTAAGTTTAATTAATCTCTTTTAGCCACAAAATTAATTATCAATTAATTCTTGACTAATATTAATTAAACAATATGATTTCTCCTTTAATATATTATATTAATAAATCATAATTAATCCCTTCTCTCCATAGTTCATCCTATCAAGTTGCTTTGGTGAAGGCAACCCAAAAGGACCATGCACCATCGGGTCAAGTACATACCAAAATAGTTATGGACTTAGACACTAATCCAACAGTCTCCCACTTGGATAAGTCTAATAACTATTCCGCGTATGACTTCAGATCCTGATCTGCAATCGTAGCTTTCAAAAACCGCTGTCAACTCTGATCCTATCAGAAACGCGTCCTTTAGATAAGGGATCATATATTCCTCCATTCTAGATATCGTATAGACTGAGACATGGATTTAAATCATTCTCTATGTCTATGTGTTGTTTCCCGATTTCCGATTTATGACGACTGACAACAGACTACAATTGAACACATCAAATTAGTCCCGGCTTGGCCAAGCGCTTAGTTGTCATCACTAAATCATCGAGGGGCCCACATATATCGCTTTCATCCTACTTTGGATAAAAGGGACGGATAAAATTTGATTCAATGCTTGCTTGCACTCACTTACCGAATCACACACAACAATATGTTTTATGACACCAAGTTACTGGTGCGTTTACATATTATCAATGTGTAATCGACTCACAAGATACAACTCACACATCTCGGTTTCAAGAATATAAGATATTATCGTCTCACCAATCACTCGTGATAAAATCCATGAAGTGATCCAAGTGAGCGTGGGTTTAATCCAATGCTCAAATCATATTTATAAGCACTCATGAACGTTGCAGCAAACATTTGCTTATGTCTAATACACTTTAGACAATCTACAAACCAATTCATGACAGTCTTCATTCATACCTACTTCCAACATATGAACGACTGTGGACCATTCGAATAATTTGATTATTCTGAAATAATTTAATTATTCAGGAAGTCAAAACATGCAAAGTGAAACACAAGAATAATACTAATCCCATATGGCCCCAAACTCTGGGTATAAATAAAACACCTTTTATTTATCACCATATCGATTACTCATTATTTGTTGTTTCGGGTAATCAACTTCTTACTTGAATTATTACTACACTTGTCCCATGCTCTCAGCATGCACACAATGTTTACCTACGGTCCTTACTTTGTGAAATAGATCAAATGAACACATTTCCAATCATACTCATTTCACAACTCCCAATCCTTATCATAAGTATAAGAATATGAAATTCTTGTTACTTATGCTAAATTCTAACATTTTATGCAATGATTCTTTCGGAAAGTTATAGCTCAAAATCATCAAGACTTGGCCAATCTCTATCAGAAACAATTCTATAGATATGATGTCTCTCACTCAAAGTACATTCCTTTGAACATCTTTCTTGCATAAAAGTTTCTAATCTAGATACAGATTCTCAATATCCAACTCCCAATATGGAAACATTTCCATATTTGGCATATGACAATTCATTCTTAATAGAATCTTATCTATTCATAATAATGTCATCCAATACCATACTTCCAACTACTCACAAGCGATCAATCCTCAACGAGCTTTGGATCGTCCTTTGATAGTTGTTTAATTATTTTAGTCAAAACCGATTCTAGTCCTTTTTCCTCTAAATGCGCTAGACATTTGAAAATTTTAGAATGGTCAAATATTATAGCACTTGCAATCGATCCTATACCCGAAGCATATGGAACACGATGCATAATGTCTTACATAAAGATATGATGCTTTATCCATCTTCTGCCATAATATTTTATGTGTCTCGTTCTTACAATTCGAACTATGAAGAGGGATGCCGTAATCATAATCGAAATTTAAGAACACACTATGTATCCTTTGACTAAATTTATTAAAATTTCTCAATCTAAGCTTTAGATTTTGAAACGAAGTACAATATTCTCTCCCTTAATTATAGCAAAACAACTATTCAACCCTTACGACTTTGCAAAGTATGACTCTTGTTTTCTATAATTAATATTGCTAACTTGCAATACTTGCCTTAATAATCATACAAGCACAACATTTATGCTCCCACAATCATGATGATTATTATCGTATAAGCATAACACTTATGCTCCCACTAGCTTTGACATGTTTTAGAAAACAACTGAACTTCCAGAAAACAATACTTATTGAATTTCTGAAGTTCATATTTCTAATACCTAATGCTTTGATAATCCTTTATCAAGCTTCTTAAACTTATACACCTTTGCCTTAGATAGCTCATATGTGTGTCTAAACAATCCAGACTAATTGCCAAATCTCACAATCGAATTATGGAAAGGGATGCCGTAACCATAATCGAATTCGAGAATACAATTTCACAATCACTATCTTCTTAAAATCTCTCTTAGTGAAAGCATTTCCTCAC